CCATCCATTTTTTCTTCGAGTCATTATGCAATGTCGCCACATTTTTATTAATAGTATCCTAGGTAATAAATATTTCGTAACTTTGAGTCCAGAATCGATTCAACAATATTTTAAGAAATGTAATTGTCAAGTTTCAAATTTAAATATGGATTATTATCAAAATTATTGTGTAAAAAATGTAACTGGGGTGCCATAATGCCTTCTCTCTAATAATTTGCATTGCTATTTTATGTGAAAAATTGCACTCTGAATAAAATATTTAACAATTTCCACATGAGGGCAAAAATACAAAAAAAAATTCAAAATATTATTAAAAGCATCAAGGAAAATCATGAAATTTTATTTGAAAATCAGGGAAAATTTATGGAATTTTAGGATGAGGAATTTGTGACAACCCTGTTTAAACTCTGAACCGTGAAATAACTTTCCTCTATTCCAATTAAAATATATATGAACGTAAATTGTGGACTTATGAATCGGAATGATTTATCTTCGGATCGCTCGTTCATTGTGTGCCGTGCGTGCTACGATGCAACAACAGCGAGCAACAGACTGTCAACTGGTCAGAGACAATCGAGAAAAATCGGTGAAATGGAGCCATTCGTGTTGACGTTTCCACTCGCTTTTCGCGAGACCTGTCGTGCCGGTCGTATAAATTTCAGCCGTGATCAGATTCGGTCGACTCGCGTCGAAACCCGAAGCTCTTCTCTCTCTCCGGAATAGGGTCTCGCGCGCAATAAAAACGGAATATGCTTTACGTTTGTGCAACACGACCCTAGACTGTATTTCATCGCGTCGCGGTGTCGCGTGTCACGCTGTTTCCATCATGTTCGTCATTATAGGATAAAAGCAGGGAATATGGAATACCGGTTTTTAAATTAACATTATTCTAATATAAATGCATATGGAGACTTTAATTTATGCAAAATTCTTAAGGAATATGTTAACTACATCCAATAAATGAAAGTCGCTAAAGTCAGTATTAATTAAAAAAATAAAAAGTACGAAAATGGAGGTTTAAGCATGCAATATGGAATATTTGGGACAAATTTGGGAAATAGTAATAAATAATACAATAAATAAAGTAAAAATTTATTTATGTAAACTAATCAAAATATAGTAAGAAAAGTTTATATTTTTATTCTATAGTAGCAAATAAATGTAAAAAATAACATCATTGGATAATAAAGAACAAAATTAAATCATTAAATTACTTAGAAAACTTAGAAATTAAACTTAGATATTTTAAAAACTTAGAAATGTAAACATTTTCAGCTTATCAGACCACTCTTTTAATAAAGCTCTCGAATTGTTAGACGCAACAAAAAAAAATGCTTACGTTAAATACATACGCATTGTATAAACGGATCCATTGTTTGTTACACGTTTGGCAGCAACTGCAACAACCCCGATTGTCGCCAAATTGCAGTGTTTCATTAAAAAAATAAGCCCCTATTCCATGTTCCCTGCTTTTATACTCTACGCGCTGCTTTTACAGCGGATGACATCCCTGGGCTTTTTAGCTTTCTTTTCTTGGTAATATCACATCACGTAGAGCAAAGTAAAAAGTCAGATAATTATAAAAATGCGATATAAATAAACGCGAGGAGTATAAATATTCCGTCGCGTTTATCGCAACGATGAGTTAAAGCCTTAATTAATCCCACGCGCCTCCACGGATAATTCAACGTCGGGAATCAACGTCGTTGCTTCGCATTTAGTGCCACGTACATTCGCGTGAATTCAAATTAATTTACCACGACGTACGAATGGCCACGCATTAATAATACACACCGCTGATATTTCTGAACAATTCTCGCGTGTCTTCCTCCTATCTTGTACCTTCCTACCCTCGATATCCCTTCGAGACTTGATGTCCATTCTCTTTCCGACATTCACCTCGATCGTTGCTATCGTACGCTGACCTAATTGCCCTAGATCACCCCGAAATTACCCCCCCC